ACTACTTAGGATGTCCGTATAATTTTTTTGCTTCTATTCAAAGTCATTCGGCGGCTACAAGATTGCAACTGAACGCCACATGTACAACGTACAGTCGCGGGGCGGGGTTTGCCTTTAATCAGAGCACGTTGGGGGGGGGGAATTTTGCAAAGTGCACTCTCTCGTAAGTTCCTCCTCTTGCAGGGCCCTTACCCCTTCCTATGTCCCATCCTACCAACCATCTTCCTGAAATCCCCCAACTTTCTTCCTTTTCTCTGAGTTTTTTTTTCTGAATCTCTCCAGTACGCCCTATCCTCCAAAAAACCTCCCAAAGAGTGCGAATGTGGGAGAATTCAACGAGATCGAGAGAAGTGAACAACCGAAAAGATTTTTTGAAAAAGCAAATACGACCCTGTCCCTCCCTTCAACGACCAAATAAGACCCCCGCCGCGGCCCCAACGATGACGTTCACCAGTTCGAGTGCATTTTCTCGATCCTCTAGTTTCAAGCTAGCCTGCTGAACAACTTCTTGGGTATTTCAGTGGAGGCATTTCACCCTTTCAAAAATAGGGATGATGAGAATGTGAATGGATGATTTTTTGCATGAAGGAATTAATTAAGCTCCCCTCTGGAGCGCGCTTCGACAAAAATCGTCATTGCCATACCTTTTGGGCGCCGCACAAAAAAAAAACTGTTCAAGTACTACGTTTTTTTGCAAAAAGAAATCTGTAACTCGCGATAAAGCTGTAGCAGAAATTATGATCTGTTAACTTGGCTGATTCTGAAATCACTAGCCTGAAACTGCGAATTAATACCCCGAACTTGGAAATAAGGCAAATTTGTTAGGTTCTACGACCAAGTGAAAACGTAACCAACTTCCATCTTGCGACTGACTGACCCCGAGAACTTCTGAGGGTGAAGAATCGCTCGCAGAAGTCTTGTTGAGAAATCTATCCAATAAATCGCGGTTCCGTAGTTTATACATTGCCAATCCTATATTCTGAAATGCTCTTATATGCTAATATAATGACAGTATATATTGATGAAAGTGGAAAACACTGCGTGAGTAAAACGTAAAAAAAAGATGAGATTTCAATAGGATCTCACTGGATTTTTTGTATAATCTGCTAATGCCTGCGGTTGCGCCGCGGTCGTTGGCAATAGGGCGAGTTAGTGCTCGGAGCAGACGAACAAGGCCGCGTTCATACATGATGCAGAAATGCCGAACCACGGAATGTGCAGAATTGCGCGGAATTTGCAGATATGCGGAATTGGGAGAAGCGCGAAATTTGCAGAAGAAGAAAATGTGCCTATCGATTTCAAAAACCGCAGAATATGCAGAAATGCAGAAGTGCGGAATGTGCAAAAATGCCAAAGTGCAGAAATTGCGCTGGTGAGGCTAAGCGAACAATCCCTATCAGGTCTTTGTCCGTCATTTCGGCATTTCTGCAAAATTCCGCAGAATTGGGAGAGAAAGCAGAAATGACAGATTCCTGCATTTCTCCGATCTGTTGGGGGTGGTTCAGTGGTGTTGATAATACAAGGCAAGAACAATAACAATAAGTTGTAATAAGCTCTTTATGGAATGGAACCCACGTATACTCGAAGAGGACGATTGAGGAAGTATGATTCCCCTACCTGGCTTGACCCCGCGTCAGGTAGGGGGCGGACTTAATGAGGGATCGTCGTCTCAGACTGTGAGACGACGATGAGGGAAGGAATCGTCGTCGCAGACGACGATACTCCGCCGGCAACGGAGTTTACATTCAATGGGGTTTTATACAGAGATACTACACAGAACGAGATTATCAACATATAGCAGTAAATTTGGTACTGCTCGGGCGGCCGCGGTGGCAGGCAGCTGGACGGCCATGACGTTGGTTGGATGGCGATGGCAGCTAGAGGGCGATTGCGGTGGTTGGACAAAGGCGGTGTGGATCTGCACGTTGGTGGTGTAGACTGGATGGCTGTACGAGCGGAAGGCGACGGTCGATGGTGAAAATAGAGCATAAAGAATTACACAAAATATAGAACTGTAACTGTCGAATCAAAGGATCGATAAACAAAGGGTAAGACAACTCGATTCGTCAGCTCTTGCGCTGTTGAGTCACCTGAGACCGGTTTCAGTACGGTGCGGGTGCCGTGAAATGCCACGTTGCACTTATATATTTTTGGCCACTTTCTCGTCGGCCCTGGGTTCTACTGGAGGGCCACCCCGTGGTGATGGAGCGCACTCTATCCCTCCATGCATTCCACTGGTCGAAGAGCCGACGACAGTGATGCCGGCCAAGCCAGCTTTTCGATTAACCTGTTTGTGCATTATTACTTTTATTATTTTGTGCATAGCTTTCGCTTCGTCTTTGGCCTTTGTATATTCTAGTAGTAGGTCTTGATCCTTTGATGAGATTCTTCTCTTGATTCTTTCATTCAGTGATGGTCCAGTGGATAGGGTGCCATAGTTTAATCCAAATGAGAGGAGGGCGTTTTACTGCAGGGCTTGGCTGCTCCTTCTTTGCTGAGCAAGCTCTCTTTGAGCTTGATGGATAGTCGGCTCGTGTTTTTGAAGAGCCGTGATAGCAAGGAGCCCAGAAAGGATATTCCCGCCTTAGCAATGAACAATATGATGAGCGGGCCTGCTAGGTAGGTAAGGGCTGCTATACCTAATGTGGTAGTGATGCAGGCCAGTGCTAGTTTCCAGTGGGTCTTGATCACATTGATTAATGGATCGAGACTTGGTAATTGGTGAATATCGAATTGGTCACTAGCCAAGAGTGCGAATTCAGCCACGTCTCTGACGTCTTCGGCTGCTATGACTGCGCCATTGGCGCACATTTCACAGCCGTCTGCAAAGCCCAAACCCAAGCAACAATAACCGTGACCTGCGAGTCACATCAATTCATGGTCAAGTGTGGACCATCCAACGAAACCAACAACATCGTCCTCAGTTTTGATCACCCAGTAGTGCACGAACAATGCAACGCTCATTGTTCGGAAAAGCCTACCAGGTTTCTATTGAGCGGCTCCCTGCACTACCACATAGAAGATCCTCAAGACGTTTCAGTCTTCGAGAGGAAAACCCACGGTGTCCCACTGAAACATCAGTGGTTCAGCGATATTACCATTCCAAGTCTCGATCCATTAATCAATGTGATCAAGACCCACTGGAACTAGCACTGGCCTGCATCACTCATCACATATTGCTAAGGCGGGAATTTCCTTTCTGGGTTCCTTGCTATCACGGCTCTTCAAAAACACGAGCCGATTATCCATCAAGCTCAAAGAGAGCTTGTCAGGAAGAAGGAGCACCAACCCGCAATAAACCCAGTCTCCCTTCCATTTGAGTTAACACATGCACTTTTTCCAATCCAACACCAGCACCATCAATTAGTAAGAATCAAGTACTAGTACTAGAAGCAGAGTAATGATAACCCAGTAATCAAGAAAGAGACTCAATCTCAACATGGCGAGAACAATATCAATCGACCTCAATTACAAACAATAACCCTTTTTTTTCGTGGATGGTATCAACATCCCACATGGCCTATGTGCCACCCCGGGACTTGAAAATTGTTGCAACCAACCTTCATCCGGATTGGGTGGCTGTCGTCCTCCTTCGATGCCATGGCGAGAATAGGTAGTCACGGTAGTCACCACCACGGTGGTCTCAATAGAACCAGGCGACGAAAAGTGGCAAAATTATATAAGTGGCAACGCGGCATTTCAAGGCACCGTACATGAGACGGGTTCTCAGGTGGGCTCAACATGGCGAGAGCGACGGTCAAGTTGTTTTAACTCTTTGATCTGCCTTTGATCTTTACAGTTGCGTTAATTTTTGAATTAATTCATCTCTATTTCACCTCCGACGTCGCGTTCCGCCCGTACAGCAAACCAGTCCACACCATCTACGAGCAGTTCCGTCGCCACTGTCCAGCCAGCCCATCGCCTTCTAGCTGCCACCGCCCTCGTCACCGATCAGCCATCGACATGGTGGCCGTCCAGCTGCCGTCGCGGCCATCCTAGCAGTACCATATCTACTGCCATTTCATATCACCGCCGTTCTATGTAATTATTTTGTATAAACTCCCAATGATTGTAAACTCCGTGGCCGGCGGAGTATCGTCGTCTCTGACGACGATCCCATCCCTCATCGTCGTCTCACAGTCTGAGACGACGAACCCTCATTAGAGTCCGCCCCCTACCTGACGCGGGGTCAAGCCAGGTAGGGGTATCATTCGATCCTCAATTCGTCTACAAAGAGA